AAAAAGTTACATAGGTGGATCACATTCCTATATCAGCACTAAGATCTCACATTCAGGGAAGGTCCCATTCTGTATGTTCCAAACCACCTCACTCCTGTGTGACCAAGTTCTACGATGTAAAAGACCTTTCCCCTGTTTTTTTGTATTAATTCAACAAGTATTTATTGAGTGCATGCTGTATGGCAAGCCTCTATCCTAGGAATTGGGAACATAACAGGGAAATAAGTAAGATCCCTGCTTTTTTAATCCTACATTAAAAGGTGACAAACAAACAAGATAAATACCAAAAAGAAGTAGTATATGGACTACAGCTGTGAACCTAAATTCAAGAGTGACTAAATGATGACTCTCACTGGTCAGAAAGCCTTCTGGGGAGCTGGCATTCTAACAAATCCAGCCCTGCAAGTGCTACAGACCTTCACAGGCCAAGGAACAGCTAATTTGAAGTGTCTGATGGGAATAAACCTGGTGAACGTATCTACTCTTACAAGAACCGAAAAAAGACCATACTTTTAAAACACTGCATTAGGGGAGAAATAGAATAATATTAGGTTTGAGAGATGAGCAGGGGCTGGGAAGTGTATTTTGAGCATGCGGGGGCACCACTACAAGGGAGGGTCATGATCTGTTGTTTGTTTTAAAAGATCATTCTGGAGGGCCGGGGTTTTAACTCAGTGGTTTCACCGCCTGCTGCGTAAGCGTAAGGACCCGAGTTCGATCCCCGGTACCGAAAAAAAAAAAAGAAAGAAAGGAAAACAGTGAGCAGCCAGTGCCTAAAACTACCACTGGAAAAAGATCATTCTGACACCAGGCATGGTGGTGCATGCCTGTAATCCCAGCACTATGGAGGCTGAGGCAGGAGGATCAGCGCGCATTGGGGCCAGCCTGGGCTACATAATGAGTTGGAAGCCAGGGTGAACTGCATAGGGAGACCCTGTTTCAAAAAACAACAACAACTGAAATCATTCCGGCTTCTTAAAAAGTAAAGACAAAGAGCAGAAGCAAGGAGATCAGTCAAGAGGCGACTGCAGTAACCCAGGTGAGAGGAGGGGCTGGCACGGACCATGGGTTCACAGTGGAAATAACTGAAATAAACAGATTCAAGGTACATTTTCGAGATAAACCAGGCCAACTTGCAGATTGTTGTAGACTCCTAATTTTTCATACAAAAAGATGTCTGTGAGGTTTTTGTAAGCCAAATAATAGCAATTTTTTTTTTTTTTTTTTTTGTGCCGGGGATCGAACTCGGGTCCTTACGCTTGTGCAGCAGGCGGGGAAACCACTGAGCTAAATGCCTAGCAGTTTCAAATTAGTACTTAACCCACATAAACAAAGACAAAAGAATATGAAGAGGAATGGAATGGAAGAATTTTGATTATTCTCTCCTCATAACTGTGTGGAAAGCACCCTTGTCAAGGAACCCCCTTCGGCTAAAGGCAAACTGCCAGCAGACCAGGTAAGATTCAGAGCGCTGCTAGAATAAATAACTCTGGACACACTTCCTCCACCTGGACGGTGCCTTTCCTACGCTGTTCAAGTCGGGTCATGGGCTTAGAGTCAGCCACAGCGCACCCAGCGTGCAGGAGGCCTGGGCTCCACCCTCAGTACCAGGCGAAAGAAACCCAGCTGTCGGTGAAAGGGCACACAGACTCACACAGAAGAATGCCTGGGTGTGAACCCCTGTTCTGCCGCTGCCAGTTTACATAACCTCGGTAATACACCCATCCTGTCTGGGCCTCGGTTTCCCTGTCTGTAAGACGGTGCCTTATGGTCTCTCCCTCATACAGCGGAAGCGAAGTCAGTGACCAGATGGAGAAGGTTAGGACACAGTATCTGAGTCGCAACTCTCAGCGCTGCATCCTGCATTTTCCTCCCCTTTTCGCTGCTCCAGTCAGGCCGCTGGGCTCGATCTTCAGGAACCCGCACTGCTGCTGCTGTGTTTTTAACGAACACCCGTAATGTTAACAGTCACCGTAATTCCGACTGCTCTCCGCATCCCTGACCCAACCGGGGGTACAGCACAGACCGGCTGGGGCCGGCGGAGACGACCGCCGACCGCCGACCCCCGACCCCCGACCTCCTCGCGCTCACCGCCAGGTCCTCCGCTTCCGGCGCCGATCCGGTCCTTTGTGGCCGGAAGTGGGTGCTTGACACCGGGCGCGGGGAAAAGGGGTCCGGCCTTCCCTGGCTCTGGAGATGCTGCGGTTCCGGCCCGGTACGGGACTAAGAATGGAGCCGAAGGCATCCAGGCGTGGTAGTGTTGCCCAGATTACGAAGTCCCAAAGACCACCAGGAGGCCGTTTCCGATGTAAGCACACGAGGGTCATTTATTCACGCTTAAGCAGGGACTCTCAATTGTCACCGACACAGCGGATCGAGATTGAGAGCCCCGAGTTCCAAATTAGCAGGGTTTTTATAGAGGTTACAGCAAGCTTCGGTCATTAGCAGCCATATGATTGGTTAACATTTAGCAAGTATGAAGTGTAGAATTTTGATTGGCTAGGCTCATTGAGGGTTGAAGGGGATTACGTATAGGTTTTTACAAGAAAAATGGGGACAAAGGTTAGTGGTCTACTTTCACGTACTGATGGTCAGCAGACATCTTGACTCATGGTCATGACCACCTTGTGTGGATAGTCAGCCCCTTAACAGATTGTCCTATAGATAGTGGGCCCGGGACACTTGTTTCTAGGGCAAACAGATGGCTGAGTCATGAGCTTAGGAATCTTGAGTTACAGATCATGTCTTTTGTCCCAGATTAAGCACATTTAATCATTAATTTGAAAGAACAAAGGAGACTGCTCCATTTTGGACAAAATGGAGTCATTCTGGTCTCACATTAGCAAAATGGAGTCACTTTTGGTCTCACAGTAGCACGCGCGTGTAATCCCACACTGAGAGGCTGAGGCAAGAAAATGTCAAGTTAGAGCCCAGGTTGGACAATTAAGAGGGACCGTGTCTCCAAATTAAAACATTTAAAAGTGCTTGGGATGTAGTTCTGTGCGAAGGTCCTGGATTCAATCCCCATTCCATCAAAACAAATAAATAACAGAAGGCAGGAAATGAATCAGATGTTAACAGTTGACAAAACAAGTCAACCCCCTTTTTTGGTCAAAATTGTGTGGGACTTCTATATATTTCAAGTGCTGCCACATTGGGGAATTGGAAAGATTGTTAAATTAAACACCTAAACCGAGGAAACTTTGACAGTAAATATGATAGTAGTAAGTAATACAAAACAGTGTGGTCAGAGCAAAATAAAATAATAAAATCTGAGCTAGAAAGACAGTGGAGAGTGCTATCATAGACTAATGGACCAGTGTTTAGATTGAGTAGGGAGCAATGAAACAAATTCTTTGACTTGGGAATACTGAGGAAATTTAACCAATATTATAGGGTGGGGAGATGGATATTCTGGAGAACAATAAATGGCAGACACCATTGCTGATGGTAGAAAGGGGAGAAAATAAGCATCAGTAGAGGAATTGTTACATATGCTATATTTTATTGTGGAATACTATTCAGCCATTAAAATGTCTGACTTAACAATAGAAAAAAACTGTCAGATTCCATTTGTCTGGAAGAAAACTACATATAGATAGAAGCAATTCTGTATGGTATTTGTGTAAAGGAAAAGATGCATTACAAACATAATAGTAATTGCTCTTATGTAAAAGATTGTGAAGATTTCATCCTACTTGCAGGCTAACAATTTAACTTACCATTTCATGGATACAGATAGAAGATACTAGGCTCCCAGGTCAGAGACAGAAGGCTCCTTCTGTCTCACAGAAGTACACAGGCCCCAAGAACTTCATGTCCCCTTGTCTCCCATAACCAAAGAAATACCATGGAGGGGGCAAGTAGGTGTTGCTCATACAATGCATTTGCACCCTAGCAGAGGAATCCCTCGTTTAGGAAAATCCGATCTTTGCTCAGTCTTGCCCCAGAGTGAGAAGGTATCTTTATTATCCTACTTGAGAAACAGATTTGCCCCAGAAGTAGAAATATCTTTGAAAAAGTAATCTGAGAAGCCAGGCATGGTGGCACATGCCTGTAATCCCAGTGATAAAGGAATAATACACAACAGAGCAAGCCTTTGCCTTTGCCCCCCCATGTTATTTTTTCCATAAAATGTTCTGTTCCAGAAATGTATCCATTGTGCTTCATGGTGTTCCTGCCCAATGTATCACAATTTTCTGTAACTGTTTGAGCTGCTGATGTTCCTACCAGAGGTTTCAAGAATATTCTATAATTCCACCACACTCCCCTACCCTGCAGATCTCTATATAAGGCTACTCCCATTTCTGTTCTGCACTCAGATTTCAGAGTGGGCAAGCTCCTCTGAGCCAGCTGGCAATAAAGGTTTTTCACCATCTTTTCAAGTAACTGTCAGATTCTCAAGTCTTCAAATTGCTGGAGCTGTAGCGTTTAAACAGTAGCACTTGAGCTGTAGCACTTGGCTATAACACTGAGCTGCTGCACTTTGCCACAACACCAGTACTTTGGGAACCTGAAACAGGAGGATCAAAAATTCAAACCCAGCCTGGGAAATTTAGCAACTTAATGAGACCATGTCTCCAAAAAAAATTTTTTTTAGGAGGAAGGAGTGTTACTTAGTGCAAAATCCCTAGGTTTAATCCTCAGTACTGCAATAATGAGAAAAATATGCCACAGGATTTGCATAATTCAGAGAATTCTCTTCCAACACTCCAAGTGTTGGGGGAAGAAGATATATCAGCTTTTTTACTTTAAAACTTCTAGATTATAATTTTTATAATGTTTTATTGCTGTTTCAAAATGTAAAAATAATAGGCAAGCAGAGCAGTTTATATTTGTCTTAGGAAAAGATAAAGAGCTACTCAAGGTTAGTAACTGGGGAAATTATAATGATATTTGAGGATATAAGCCTAGTAACCATACCTAGATTAGGAAAACTATCTCAAGGCTGGTGAAATCACTCATGTATGAAGTGATTAGAACCAAGGATTGGGATTATGTTAATGGAGATGAGCAACATTTCAAAGACCAATCTATTGGCTTTGAAGGTTTCTCCTTTACCTCCATATTTCATGTGGGTAAATCAAAGAAGCCTCTGGAACCTATATACTTTGGAAACTGGTAATATTAGCAACTCTCAATGATGTTTGCATAACAGATAGCACTTCCTTTGGAGTGAATGACTAGGAGCAAGCAGACAAGCTAGGGGCCACTACAGTTACCAAAATCAAAAACCACATTCTCTGGAGTGGAGAACTTCACTGTACTTCATTCCTAAAGAGTGCTCGTCTGTATTTTCCCTTCCCCAGTCCATTGCAAGGGCCCAGAGTCGTCTTAAATTTTGCTATGCTTACTTTAGGCCTCAGTTTTCTTAGAAAGAATCCTTCCATTTGTTTTAGAAAGTAGGGATCAGGCTGAGTCTGGAAGACAAAAACTCTAGCTACCAGTTATTAAGGGGAAATAGGCAACTTCCTAGAATGTGGTTCTCAAATGAATGGTCCATGCTGCTTCTTGGCAGTTGTTGGTGATGAGATCAGGACTTCTCCAGGACTCCGCTGGAGATGCCTACCCTGCCCAGCTATTCCCTCTGTTTCTCGCAGTCTGATGTGAGTGGATCTCAATCTGATTCCCTTGTTTATTCATTTATAGAAATTCCTATAAAGATCTAGTCCGCTGTTTGCCCCCTTTGTTTGCTATCACTGTTCAGTTGATTCATTTTTAGTTTTTCTGTTACGTCAATAGGTTCTTCGGCTAGTATTAAGTGGATATATGTGTCTTGAACTTACATGAGCCACAGTCTTTCCTCTATATCTTCTTTCTCTCATTTTCTCATTTTTAAACAGCTTACTTTTGGATTGGAGAAAATTTTCTCATTAAAGTGAAACTGGGCCCAGATCTTGGAGGGAGGACAGAGAACAGTAGGGAACACACTTACAGAGCAGAGAACAGTATGACCGGAAGGGAGATACTGACTATAGAAGCAGATACACGAATTCATATAGGGCCAGGGATTTAGCTCAGTGGCACTGCGCCTGGCTCAAAAGTACAAGGTCCTGAGTTTGACCCCTAGTACTAGGGAAGAAAAAAAAAAAGAATCCATACAGTTTTTATTAAGCCACACATTGAAGAAGTTTCCAAAAATGTGAATTTTTTTTTTCTTTTTTTTCTTTTTTTTTTTTGGTACCAAGGATTGAACTCAGGACCTCGTGCCTGTGGTGCTATGCTGCTGAGCTAAATCCCCAGCCCCAAAAATGTGAAATTCTACTCTTTTTCCTAATTTTTTTAGAGAAACATAACTAGTAGCAAATAAAATATACAGTAAAACCTTGGTTTGGAAGCATAATTAATTCCGGAAACATGCTTGTAATCCAAAGCTCTTGAATATCAGAGTGGTTTTCTCATTAAAAAACAAGGGAAACTCAGATGATTCATTCCACAACCCAAAAATATTCATAAAAAATGATTACAATACTGTAATGTAATACAAAATATAAAGAAAAGTAAATTAACCTGCACCTACCTTTGAAAACTTTCATTGCTGGTGTGAGGGAGACAGATTGGAGGGTAGTGTGTAGGACTATCACTAATGGAATCACTATCATCAATGGAATTATTGCCATCTATTGGCTAAATGAAATCTTTCTTTCTGTGCAACTTTAACAAGAAACCTATCCAATGCCACTTGCTTTTGCCTCCTTTTGAGGATTTCACAGAAATGTGACATTGCAATGCCATTGAACAGATTCGTCACTTGAAGTGCTACTGCCTTGTTCTGGTGATGCTTTTCTACAAATATGCACTTCTTCCCACATTTTAGACATGTTCTTAATCTCATTTGTTTTAACTTTTTTTGGGGGGGTTACCAAGAATCCAACTCAGAACCTTGTGCTTACTAGGCAGGCATGGTGCCACTGAGCTAAATCCCCAGCCCCTTAATCTCATTTGAAGTGAGGGATTCCTCTGCCTTTTTCTCCTCCTCCTTCCTCTGCAGATGAGATCTCCTCCATAACCTCTTGCTATTAGGAGATGATCATCCACAGTCCTGTAGAGAGAGACAGAGAACCATTGGCTCAGTTGTAATCGTGTGACATCTGGTGTCACAAACTACTTATTTTGCAAGACATCACCTATTTGTTGAGTTAAAATTTATTAATTTATTAACAGAACAAGTTATACTTCAAGGTTTACTGTATATCTCTTAATATACAGCCTCTCTTGATATATATGAGCTTGTTCTCATTCAACTCTCAAACCTGTAATATGGAAGGGCCCTTTACCTCCCATTCTGCTCAGTACATAACCCTACTGAACTCAAAAGAAAGTTTTGTCCCTTGAGAAATGAAAAAAGGAATCTCCCACATTTACTTCATGTGTTTCTTTTGATGGAGGAAGTCGGGAATCATCAATGCAGCAGACAGCCTTTTCTCTTTTCTATGTGTGTCTCATCTCAGCATTTTCCCACTACTCTTATGATACTTGGGCTTTTCCTTTGCAAGGAAGAAGCCTTTGGACTAATTTCTGTGCTGAGTGACCTGTCACATTGTCCTCGATGTCTCTTGAATGTTTGCCTCTGGGCCTTTCTGCTGGGGTGTTAAATTTTTTTTTTAAGAAGTCAAACATTTTAATCAATTTTGGGCCAATTCAGCAGACTTTCCGTCTTACATCTTAATGAAGATATTCACCCGTGGTTTCTTGTAGCTTTTCTTGTGCTATTTTACACTTAAATCAAGGACTAGCCTCAACCAACACACTCTTTTTTTTTGGTACTGGGGATCGACCTCGGGTCTTTGAGCTTGAGATGCAGGCGGTGGAAACACTGAGATAAATCCCCGGCCCACACTTGTTCTTTTTAGCAATCCACCTGGTCCTTATTACATCAGCTGCCCTCACAAGATGATGACAAATGTCAAGCCATCTGAACCTTGGGATCAGAGGCTTAGTTATCACAAGAAGAGGAGCAAGGGTTGCCTCCTGGGCCTGAGTTTGATCCTTGAGTTTAGGATAAAGGTGTGCTCACTGCCCAGCAGTCACTTTTTGTGAGAGAATTGAGGAATGTGCCTGCTGAGCTCCCTTCCTCATTTCAATGGAGAGCATTGCTTGCCCAGGTGTTTGCCAATTCCAATTTTGTAAGGATGGGAAGACCAATGTCCCGGGGACCCGTCTGTCACTGTCTTTGGAAAACCTAGTTCATTGCCTGGGGCCAATCTGACCACTGCCTATGCAGGGGAGTCTTTGCTGGGTTCACACAGACACAGTGCTCCCTACTCAAAGGACGCAAGCTTGTGTTGGCTGGAAATGATGTGGTACTTAAGAGGCTCTTTCCTTCTTGGGTGTGAAGGCCCCTGGGCTTGCGTTCCAGGGTTTAAATCCTCACGAAACTTTCAGAAATACAGGAGGTCTCTTGGTCAGTGCTACGGCCTCCACATGCAGGGTCACTTTCTTGAGCCCATATAGGCATTTATGCTCGGAGGCCTGGTTTCTCATTGGAGCAGTATTTTCAAGTGGGGCCTTGAGATGTGTCTGGGCCACAGGGTATCCATCTCCTCTCTGGATGCATGTATGAAATCCACAGCTGAATGATTTATTGGAATTTGAGCCTTGTGGGAGGTCAGAGCCCTAGGATCCTTTTAGAGCCCTGGTGAGGGAGCACACAGTGGTTCTTTGAAGCCTCAGGCAGAGCAAGCTCACCTCAAGCAGCTGTACTGGGCTGCTCCAGCTTCACTGGGATGCAGGCTCCCCCAGGGTCTGGCAATCAATTGTATTCTGGGCAGTCCGAGGTTCCCTCTGTCTCCTTGGTCTCCGGGATGTTTGGGGCTGGTCCTCAAACACTAGGTCCTGTTTGTTCTGCAGCACAAAAAACCTAGCTCCTTTCATTTCCTACTTTGGCACCTGCCCTTGAGTCTTTGGTAGAATTCTTCACAGGCACTGCGCAGCCACAAGACGCATTCTCTCTCTTCCCAGGAGCTCGTCTCTGTGTACTGGCCACACCTCAGCTACCTTCTAAGCACTGAGGCTTGCCTGGCCTCCGTACCACACTCATTTGGGCCTCCATTTCCTCTCTGCCCCCTGTGCTTAGGCGGTTTGCTTTGGCTCTCTTCTCCTCTTGCCAGGACCCCACAGCCCGCCCGGCCTAGGATCGCTGTGCCCTGGACGCACAGCTTCCGCCCCAGCTCCCGACTCTGGGCTCTTGGGGTCCTGCCTGGGCTCTTTCAGCCCCAAACACTCCCACTTTGCCCCCGGGAATTCAGAAGTCTATGATCTGCGTTTAGCAGGAAACGTGCTGTCCATGCTGGACACTGGGGAGGTCTAAGAGAAGAACACTGTAAGTGCAGGAGAGCAGAAGCAACGGAACGCAAAATTTGCTGCTCCTCAGGGCCATGACAGCACCGCTGGCGCGCAGGCCCTTCGCTGACCATAGAGCTCTCGGGCCTCCTGGATTCCTAGAGAGCCGCCGGAAGTGCCTCTGGGGCTTGAAGCGCGCTGACCGGCGCGGGACCACCCCAAGCGTGGAAGTCGGGGGCCGCCCAGGCCTTGTGCGTACGCATTTTCTGCGCGGAGCTCTCCCCGCGCGACCCCGCAGACCCCGACGCCCAGTGAGTAGCCGGTCCGGGCGAGGGGGCGCCGGGGACGGGGCGGGGGTCGCAGGACCTGAGTGTCTGCCAGGCGCCCTCCCAGGCCCAGTCTCCGGGTCCCCGAGTCCTGTGATGGTGTCGCTGTGCACAGTGTCCTGCCCCTACCTTAGCTGTTCGTCTGGACTGTTTTCGCTTGGCGATTTGAGGGTTCAAGCTCAGTAAGATTCTCATGTAATGTTTTACAGATATATTTTGCTTTGGGAGCCACAGTTGCTCATGGATACTCTCCATTTTTGCGCTTTTTATTGTACTCAGAAAATGGTTATTCCCTTTTTAATATATTCATGATATGGTGCTGTGTTGGCTGGATGAATGTATGAGAGAAACGTTTTCGAAAATTTCAGGGTCCGGTAGGATTCACCCTTATTCAAAGTACTTTGCTCATTTATTACCGCTAAATGCCAGGTAACTCTTTGGGAGAGGCCTCATTTCCAAAGTTCAGGTTAGTCTTGAGTAATTATTGTCAGCCTGCTTTAAGACTGGAACCATTACCTCTAAAAATATATTTCTGTTGTTTGATTAGTTTACTTGAGGATAGGCATACAGCAGTTTTGGTTTAAGCAGTGCACACGTTGTGAATTTCTGTTCTGGTTAAATGCAAAATTTGCCACCTGTTAAAACACTCAGTTAATGCAATTTGAGGTAACTGCAAAACATAATGTTTGCTTCACCTACTTTTCCTTGATCTTTGAAGCCTGGGAGATGTCTTTCTTGTTTTGTTTTCAGTTCCCAAACATTTTTCAAATTAGACTTAAGTAGCCCAAAGGAAGAATACATGCCTTCTACATCTATTGAAGCGTAATGCTGTTAAAAGTTGAGTTGTGCCTTTAATAGTTCACGGGATTATAACATTTGAGACCCACCAGAACCTGTAAATATTGTCTTAAATTTATAATTCAGGCCAGGCGTGGCGGTCCACACTTGTAATTCCAGCTCTTGGGAAGGTTGAAGCAGGATTCGAGTTCAAGGCCAGCCTGGGCAATTTAGCAAAAAGTTATCTCAAAATTAAAAAAAGAGCCAGGGATGTTGTTCAGTGGTAGAGTACTCCTGGGTTCAATTCCCAGTACTGCCAGAAAAATTCATAAATCAGTGAACCTGATGTTCTTTAAAGTGGATATGTAAAAACAGTTTTTATCTACAGGTGTTTATCAACTTAATACCCATGCCTACACACAAAACTATTTGAGAGAAAAATACAGAATGAACTAATTTCACATTGTTATTTATATACTGAAATTCTCAAAAACTTGCTGGTTGAAGAAGGACAAGGAAAAATGGAATATTGGCCACAAAAAAGAGTTAAAACAAAGATAGACATATTTGGTATAAAATATGAACAAATGTGATAATTACATGACTTTCATCAGTGTTACTATTGAGACTAATACTCCAACAACATAGTTACTGAGTTGTGCACACTTTACATTGACCTTTTTATACTTAAAGATGAGGATCGATTGTAAGATAATAAGTTGTTCAGTAGATAAAAATGATCCTTGAATTTAAGGAAAATAATAAGAAAAGAGGGTAAGCCTATAACTGTATTGCATTAAATTGTAAAACACAAAACTCCACCATCTTGCCCAAATTGAGTCTTCCTCAGATCTCATTATCCTAGCAAATCCTGCCATGTCTCTGTAAATTCATAATGTATTAATTAGACCCCTGATGTGAATACCCATATTTAACCTTGTCTGTTGCTCCTTAGTTCTAATCTGTGGTTTACCCTTCCCCCTTCCCACACACATACTATTGAAGATAGTTTTTCAAATTCCCTTTCTTTTCTGTACACACTCTCTAAATAGGAATTGTTTCATCTTCATGGCATTCTTAGGTGAGTTTCCAGTCTGTAAACTGTCTTGAAATTAAATGTAAAATCTCATGCCTTTTTCCGGGGAGAAGCTCTATATTTTCATTACATTGAGGAGTCCATGATTGAACCTTCCCGTGCCAAATGTGACAGATAATGAAGCAGTGCTTTGAAGACTCATGTCAGGAACTGTATGTGCAGATATTCTTCCTGAGTGCCCGTCTCTTACGTCTCTTGTGGACTACAGGTCTGTGGTCTTGTCTTGATGTTGTCTTCCCTGCTGACTGCTTGTGGATAACTGCCTCTGGCTGTGCTCTTCACTATCCTCTACAGTGCTGCCTTCTTTTAATTATCTGCCATTGTGATCTTCCTAGCCTACAAATGTGTAGTATAACTTCACTAATTTAAAAGAGATTCAGAGGAAAAGATCACTGCCACACAAAAAAAACTTTGCAAGAATGCCATGGCCATAGGCTGACATTTTGTAATACTCTACGCAGTGTCTAAATCCTGTATTGGGACCATGTGGAAAATACTTGAGCAGGCATGAGCACCTCAACAACTTCCAGTTGGAGTCATCAGGAAAGGATCCTAAAGATAATTATTTTATCTTTATTTTTAAAAATAGGTAATTTTTACATTGACCAATGAGTTAAATGAAGACAAGTATCAATGTTCATGGAATGGAAAACTCAGTGCTTTTAAGATATTTCTAATATAGCAGTATTGTTAAGATGTTATCCCTAAACTGAGCTACAGATTCAACACAAATCCAATTGTGGGAGTCTTTGTATGAGATTTACAAAACTTCCTCCCTTTCATTCTTTTAATAGTGGCTTCTGAAGGATAAATTTCTAACAAGCTGATTCTAAAATATATTCAAAGGCAGCAGAAGTGGAAAAGCTAAGAGAATTTAACACATAAACATAAGTTGCAGGGCTCAAACTATGTGATTTTTTTTTCAGTTTCTTTTTATTTTTATTAATACATGTTTGCAGTACATAATGACCATATTCATTGTAGGCACTTGGTACATGTACATAACACATCTTAATTCTTTTTACTTCCCCTAAACTGCTTGATTTCTAGATTTGAAACTCCACAACAATCAAGAGAGTGTTGTATCACTTTCTCTCCTGTATCACAGCCTAAAGGAACAGAACAGAGATGTCAGGAATGGATCCCCATATATATGGTCAATTGATTTTTTTTTTTTTTGTGCAGGGGATTGAACTCAGGACCTTGCACTTGCGAGGCAGGCGGCAGCATCTCTGAGCTAAATCCCCAACCCAGTCAACTGATTTTTGACAGAGCTGCAAGGACGCTTTGGTGGGTAAAGGATAATTCTTTCTGCAAATGGTGCTGGAACAATTTGGATCTGTATGCAAGAAGAAAAAGAACCTCTATTCATACCTGAAACTACAGAAAAATCAACTGAAAATGAATTATAGATCTAAATGTAAAACCTAAAACTACAAAAAATTTTAGGAGAAAATATAATTTTGGGCTCTAAGCAACAAATTCTTAGATATGACATCAGAAGCACAATCTCTAAAAGAGAAAAAATTGATGTTAAACTTCAAAAACAATTTGAAACATTTTTCAGAAGCTACTTTTTTTTTCTCTTTAATTCTTTTATTGGTACATTTTAGGTATACAATACGTTTACATTTATCATTGGGTGCTTGTACCTGTACATGATGTATCTTAGTTCTTATTTTTTCCCCCATTACCTATGCGCCCTTCACCCCCTCCACCCTTCCCTATTTACATAAATTTTGTAAAGGGAGGAAATATTTATAAATCTCATAAAGGACCTGTATCCAGGATATATAAGGAATTTTCAAAACTTTTTTACAAAACTAAAAGAATAGGTAGCAGTTTCAAATAGATACTTCACCAGAGAAGATAAACAAATGGCAAATAAGCACACAAAAAGATGCTCAACATTATTAGTCATAAGGAAGAAGCAAATGAAACCATGTGTTGCCTATTAGAATATCTACAATTTTTTTTTTCTTTTTTGGTACCGGGGATCGAACTTGGGACCTTGTGCTTGCGAGGCAGGCGCCGGAACCACTGAGCTAAATCCCTGGCCCAATATCTACACTTTTTAAAGAAGCAGTATCAAGCGCTGTCAGGATGGGGAGCAACTGCAGCTCTCATTTATTGGTTAATGGAATACAAAATGCTACAGCCACTTTAGAAAACAGTTTGACTGTTTCTTACAAAGTTATATGTACACTTTATAACCCAGCAGTTTTAGTTCTGGATATTTGCCCAAGTGAAATAACTGTTTTTACACAAAAATTCATTTATACATATTCTCAGTGACATTAGTTAGAATCACCAAAAAAATGACAACAACTCATAATCTTTCAACTGGGAATGGATAAACATCTAAACATACTGATACAACATTGATTAATATTAAATATATTATACTAAGTGGAAGATACCACTCAAAAGACTATATACTAATTTGTATTTATATAATAATTTGGAAGGCTGTTGGTACGTGGGATTAAATTTTTGCACTGCAGGTGTTAACAGGGCACCCAGGTTCTTTGGAAATACACTGCTCCAGAGAGTTCCAGAGCTAGACATAAGGTCTGAAGTATATAGGATGGAAGATGGAAAACAGCATGTTGAATATTAGGTGGAGAAGAGCAAAGTTCTTGACAGTACTTTGAGCTATGTTATATGAGAATTAGCCCCAAGTACTGCAAATTTGGGAAATGTATATAGAGTTGAATGTTACAGGAACAGTTTAGTGTCATTGATATAACATGCTAAAAGGAGTTACGTGAACAACACTGAGGACCAACTCAAGTTGAACATAGAATTTCAGATATGCCCAGTCTCTATGGTTTCCTGACTTTGTTTATCTATCTTCCACATCCCTAAACAGAGAAAGCAGAAGGCTGGGCTATTTCCTGGGTGGGTTTACCATGGCAAAAGATTAAGGAGGTAAGGAGTTACTTCTGGAGTGGTGAAGATGATGGAAATAGCTGAGGAACAAGTACATGGGGATGGGACTTCCTACGTCACTGACACTTGACTGACCTTAACAGTGTATGTCATTTTCTCTTCCCAAAGAGATATCCTTGTGGCCCTCAGAAGATTCTTCTCTTAAGAAGGTAAAGAAGACAGAGGAAACAAACCTGTTGAGTTTTTCTGGCCCTAAATGGCGGCAGAATTAAGAAAGACTTCTCCAGCCCCATCTCCACAAGACCGGGCTCCTGAGGAGGACCTGGTCATCATCAAGGTAGAGGAGGATCATGGGTGGGAACAAGAATCTAGCCTGCCTGAGAATAACCCTCCTGGCCAAGAACTCTTCCGCCTGCGCTTTAGGCAGCTGTGCTATCAAGAGACACTAGGACCTCGAGAAGCCCTGATCCAACTCCGGGCACTTTGCCACCAGTGGCTCAGGCCAGATTTGAACAGCAAGGAACAGATCCTGGAGCTGCTGGTGCTGGAGCAGTTCCTGACCATCCTTCCTGAGGAGCTGCAGACCCTGGTTAAGGAACATCAGTTAGAGAATGGAGAGGAAGTGGTGACCCTGTTGGAGGATTTGGAGAGGCAGATAGACATCCTAGGACGGCCAGTGAGTAGAAGGAGCTGTGCATGCTGATTATGGATGACCTGGCAACTGGGCAGAGGGACGTTGGCCTCCTGTGGGAGAGTAAATGCTGGGCACTGGTATCCAATGGATGAGCGTGGAAGTAGTTATCATGTAGTATGTTCCATATTTGTAGGTTCCTTTTTCCTTTTGTAAAGGATATAACCAATTTTTTAATCATCATATCCCTATAACTATTACTCCTATTTGCCAGATGGCAACCAGATACATGGGGAGCTTAAATTACTTTTTCTGGAGTACGCAAAAAATCAAAAGTGGATCTGAGACTAGAACTCAATCTTCCTAGATCAGTGATGGCAAACCTTTTAGACCTTTCAGTAATAATAAACAGCTGGCCATGGCACACATGCCATAGGTTTGCTGCCACTGCTGTAGGTCCTTATCAGAAAGGTTTTCTTCCTACTCTATGGCCCTGCTTTAAGACTCTGTTTATCATTTTTTTCTTCCTGTAGTTTGGAAGCACAAAATATTAGTGTTCCTTTTAGAGGAGAGGACATCGGCAGAAATTTTTTCCTTTAGTCTTGAGCAGAAACGATGTCTTTTTTTCTGGGCTCACCAAAATGTTTGTGTCTTTTGCTATCCAGGAGAGTAAATGATACTCTGCTGCTTCCATCCCCAAGCCTGGGCCCCTGTAGATGGGCTGTGGTTCTTACATTGCTCCTTTCGTTGCTCCAAGGGATTCCTTTGTGACCCCATTGTTCCTAGGTCCCAGCTCGTGCACATGGACATCGGATACTCTGGGAGGAGGTGACACCTTCGGAACCTGCACCAGAACCTCCATGTATTCCGCTTCAACCTGTGGTGGCCCAGCCTAAATCTCCAGTGCCCCCAGGGCCACAAGAGAGAGGTGAGACGCCAGAGTTCATTGACAAGGATAGAGAAGGAGAAAAGAAATACATTTGGGATGCCTGTCTAGCTCCTAACTAGGAAAGATGAATCTAGTCCACAGTGTATATTATACTTTCCCCGTTGTCCCAGTGTCTTTTCTAGTCCAGAGTGTAGCCCAAGATCGTAATGTGCAATTCATTGTAACGCTCCTTTATTTTGGCATAGTGAGGGGCCAGGAATTTAGCTCAGTGGTTTCGCCGCCTGCTGCTCAAGTGCAGGGACCCGAGTTCAATCCCTGGTACCCCCCCAAAAAAAAAAAAGTGTACTGTATTTTGGCATAGTGCCTTGGTCTTTCTTTTCATTCCAAGATGTTGACAGTTTTGATGACCACAGGTTAGTTATGCTATAGTATGGTTATAATTTGAGTTTGTTTCATATTTTCTCACATTTAGACTCAGGCTATATATATTTGACAGAATGCTGCAGAAGTAATGTTGTATCATTCTTAGAGGTCCAACAGAAATTTGTCTTATGGGCAGTATTGTCTTTGATGAATTGGTTACAGTTATTCTTGTTATTAATCCCCTATTTTTCCCTTTGTAATTAATAAGTAATTTGTGGGGAGATATTCTTCAGTTTATGTAAATAACTTAGTCCCCATCAAACTTTCATTGCTAAAATGATAGAGAAAAGTTTTAAAGTAAGTTTAGTAGATTAGCTATTAAAGTAGTTGTGGAAGCAAAATAGGTAGTGTATCCCTTTAAAAGCTTACCTTAGCCCGTTGCTTTTGTTGTTTAAAGTGAAAGTTATATAGCTCCTTTAATCTGTAGCTCCACTATAGATAACATCTTAGCTCTGAAGAAGAGAGTGGGAATCCCTGAACAAACTTGTGATATATGTGCCGTAACTGTCATGTGTTTAGGACTGTAATCAGTGACAGAAACCACCTGTGTTTAACCATTAAGCAGAAATTGGAACTTTATTTACTTAAAGACAATTAGGGATGAGATAATGAATAACAAAAGTATGAAAGGTGATTATCAAAGAACGCAATGGTGGACACTGACCAGACCAGTTTTCTGGTGGTCCCACCTGCTTACAAATAAAGCCTTTGTTATTTTACCCAAATTCTGTGTCTCCATGCATTTCTTTCTGTGATTCCGGAACATTTGGTTCCCTGACCAGGAATCAGGAAAGAAGTGGCCCTTTTGGGCATGAGCCCAAACCCCACCAGAGGGAGCGGCTCTCCGTCTCCTCAAGAGGAAAGGCACACCCCTGGGACTAATTTCCTAGGCTCCCCAACAGGACACAGAGACCCGCTCGCCGGTTGCGGATCTCCTGAACCCAAGACGGAGGATGACAGAAGGAGGGCTGCTGCTGTTGGTTTTCCCGGTGAGAAACCCCGGGAAACCCCCTAGTTGTTAACCTTTGGTTTCACTTTGTGAGTTTGTATTTTGTAACTTTGGGCAAATACAGCACAGGGGCCTGATCACCCCTTGTGCTTTGCCATTTGGGAAGATAGCTCCTTCCATTTGTTTTGGTTCACTTTGTGAACTTTGGGCAAAAATAGTGCAGGGGCCTGATCACCCCTTGTGCTTTGCCATTTGGAAAGATAGCTCCTCCTGTTTGTTTTGGTTCACTTTGGGCAAAAATAGTGCAGGGGCCTGATCACCCCTTGTGCTTTGCCATTTGGGGAGGTAGCTTCTTTCATTTGTTTTGGTTACAGTTAGGGGAGTCACCGGAAGGGAATGTGATAACTTCTGAATAAATGTTTGAGTGAAAGAGTTCTGGATAGGAGAGTGTGTGGAACGAGCTGCGAAACAAGACAAAGGGACAAGGCACTTGCACTTGAAGAGTCCTCCCCAAGTCACGGAATTTGTGTGTGGTCAGTCCCGAGATTCTGTGGTCATGTTTAACAAAGGCAAAAAGGTGAGCTTACGCGACAGCCCACTTTAGCCTGAACGGACGGACCTTAAAGTGGCCGAGCGGCCCGCAGCCAGGCAGGCGAGCGAGTGATCCCCCACCTTTGTCTTGCGTCTCCATACAAGGGTACCCATACACACCAACACTGATCAACCGACTGTGGGGACAGAAACATCTCGTCCTACTGTTTTGAAATGCATGCTTAGGAATTTTAAGAAAGGTTCTACTGGAAATTATGTTATTAAGATGAAACCCCAAAACTTAGAGCCTTCTGTGAGTTAGAATGGCCCAAGCTTTGCGTAGCTGGGCCAACTGAGAGATCCCTAGGTAAGGGTCTCGTCTGGTCCGCCTGGCTAACAGTCACCGCCCCTGGACGGGAACATCCACAGCAATTTCCCTATATTGATTTATGGCTCAACTTGTGCCACAGAATGCCTCCTTGGCTTCATATGTGCCCTCTGGAAGCAAAAACCAATATCCTGGTCCTCCGTCAGAAAGAGGATGATGCTGAAAAGAAACCAGTCCTTTCAGACCCAGACCGAGAGAATTTAGACTTTCCTGCTCCTTACCCGACTGCCCCGGCCCTTCCCTGGGCCCCTATGACATCAGCACCGACCCCTGCAGCTCCAGCCTCAGCCTCACCTGACTCAACCCAGCTGCTCCAAGACCCAGGTACCCCAAGATGAGGCAAATAAAAACAATGGAACCTAAGGAATGTGTCAAAAATAGCATCCAGACAGCTCAACAGAAAACGTTATCTCCCTTGAGACTTTAACTGGACCTTCATGGCTTGGAGTCTTGCATACCGAGCCTGGGAGCCTCTCAAGCTTCTGCTCCACAGCAATCAGCAGCTGATGGAACTGTTTAGTTTCCATCTTAAAACAACTGCCTGACAAATCTGCTGTCTTTCACACCAGGGACTCGCCTCTCAAAAACAACATCATTACAGACAAATCCTAGGGCTCTGCTCTAGCGGAGGTCAAGCTCTCCCCCCCCCCCCCCCTCCTTTTGAGTTGCTAAATTCACAGGTGCGGAGGAGGTGGAAACAATAGCATGAGAACTGCTTGGCTTCAGAGCACCAGAGGGTGCATGCTGTGGTCAGACTCAGGATGGAATAGGGCTTAGGCTCAAATTGGAAAAACTAAAAAGAGAAACTAAGCAATGGATTGAAAATAGCTAAGAAAGCTCTGAAGAGCATAAAACAAAGCCAGAGAAAGTGTAACTGCTCTACTAGACAGAAATTTTGCAAATCAAGTTACAAATTTTAGCTAATTGATGAAGGCATCTGTTTCAGTTTGAGTTCATGTTTAGTTGGTGTGCTTAAAATATTTCTTGTACATTGCAAATTCTTCAATTGTAATTATAGGGTTAACTTGTTCTTTTCTGTACTTTGTTGATAAAAAACTCAGGGTTACTACCGTTCTATTGGCAGCCAACCAAATTTAAAGTGTAACAATCTGAGAACGAAAAAAGGGACACTTTAAAATTTTAACAGCTAAAGACAAGTTTGTGATAAAAGGTCTATAGCAAGCGAGATGAAAAAATGTTAAAAAGCTATAAGTAAAAGAGATACAATTTTGATATAAAAAAATTTGTGTGTTTGTCTTGTTAGAAAGATAAAAAGAGATATACAAGACCAGAAGGCTTAGGCATGTCAAAAGATGTGCGAAAGGGATTTATCAAGAAAACATGTATGTTTGTTTGTTGGTTTCAAGTTTGTTATGAAAAGTTTAAATATGTTTACACTGTCATCAAAGAATTAAATTCTAAATATGTTACTATAATATGTATACATCGGTCATCTTCAAAGGGTTTAAGACCCAACAGGTTACAATGTGACCTCCTCCTTTATAGTGAGTTAGAAAAAACTGTTGGGAAAGGTGCAAATATGTCAGACCAAGGTGCAATATTTGAGATTTGACTTAAAAAAGGACAAAGGAGGCTAGGTCCAGAGGAAAAAAAAGTCATTTATTCTCTGCCAAGACCACTCCAAAATGCTTCAATTATTTGCTTCCATCTTTGCTACCCATTGTAATTGGAAGGACTGTAAAAAACTTTATAGAACTTTGTTAACCTCTAAAAAAATACAGAGAGTTTTAGAGAAATTAAAAAGATCAATTCTCCTAGAATGCCAGCAGGCACACAAAATCCAGACGCTTGGCATGAACAGCAATTTCCAGTGAATATGTGGCCCGATTGGAATCCCAATACCCAAGCAGGCCAGGAGAGTTTAAGAAATTATCGGACGGCCCTTCCTGCAGGGATATGAGCTGCGAGTAAAAGACCTACAAATATGGTTAAAGCATCAGCAGGAGCCTAACAAGAGCCCTGAGAAATTTTACGAGTGGCTTTACAAGGTCTGTAGAATGTACACACCATTTGACCCTGCTGACCCAGATAACAATCAATTAATCAATACGACCTTTGTAACTCAGTCAGCTCCAGACATTAGAAGGAAAATTCAGAAGCAAGAGACTTGCAATGGCATGAATATAACACAACTGTTGCAATTAGCTAGAAAAGTGTATGTGAACAGAGAGTTGGTGAGAGAGAGAGAGTGAGCAAGGAAGGAAGATTAGTGAGATAAGAGGAGAGCCAGATACATAGTAGTGGCTGTAGGAGCCAAGGAAGAGAAAGAGAAAGACAGGGAATGAAACCAGAGGGAAAGCGGAAGAAAGGCTTTAGGCATGAAGACTTTGACCAGTGTATATATTGTAAAGAGAAAGGACGTTATAAGAAAAAGTGCCCAAGGCTCAAGGAAAAGAAAAAGCAGGACTTGGAAGGAAAAGAAGGATAGTGCACATTGTTGCCTGTGATGGAAGACAGTGACTGACACAGACCAGGCTCAATGCAGCTAGGCCCCCACAAGCCCATGGTCAATATAAAGATAGGGGGCCAGAATATGTCCTTAATGGTGGATACTGGCACAGAACATTCAGTAGTAACAGCTCCAGTTGCCCCTCTGAGCAGAAGGTGCATCCAAGTGATCGCTGCCACTGGAATTTCAGAAAAGTGCCAGTTTTTCTATGAAAGGACATGTTTAATTGGAGGACATAAAGTAAAACATGAATTCTTGTATATACCAGAATGCCCTATCCCCTTATTAGGAAGAGATTTATTATCTAAACTGGGAGCTACAATAACTTTCACCCAACGAGGAAATGCGTCTCTGCATTTAAACCCAGGAAAAGATCTCATCATGATGGTAACTACTAAAAGGGAGGATGAATTTTAGTGTTACAGTGTGGATGATGTTAACCAGGCTCCACAAGAATGAAAAGCTACATGCGCCAGGGATTTAGCTCAGTGGTTCCACCACCTGCCTTGCAAACACAAGGACCCAAGTTCAATCCCTGGTGCCCAAAAAAAAAAAAAGAATTAAAAGCTATGTTTCCTGGAGTGTGGGCAGAAGATCAGCCCCCAGGCCTTGCTAAGAATCATCTGCCCATAATTATAGAATTAAAAGATAATTCAGCCCCCATTGCTATAAAGCAATATCCAATGTCCAGGCAAGCCTGAATTGGAATCAAGCCCCATATCATGAGATTAAAAGAATTTGTACTTACAAGAGAATGTAAGTCACCTTGGAACGCCCCTTTGCTGTTGGTTCAAAAACCTGATGGCGACTACAGGCCAGTGCAAGATCTACGGGCTGTAAATGGCAGAATGGTAACATTGCACCCAGTAGTCTCTAACCCTTGCACTTTTCTGGGTCTGATACCCCTAGAGGCAGCATGGTTTACTTGTTTGCACTTAAAAGATGCCTTCTTTTGCCTTCTCATCACTCCCCTCAGTGATCTTTGCATTTGAATGGAAAGACCCAAGTGATGGGAAAAATGCTCAGTTTACTTGGACCAGATTGCCACAGAGATTTAAAAGTCTCCCACGCTTTTCGAGGAAGCCCTAGCCAAGGATTTGCTTACTTTCCCCACAGAACAATATAGCTGTGTCCTACTGCAGTATGTGGATGACTTACTGTTATTCAGCTCCACCCAAGAGCGGTGCTGGGAAGGCACCAAAAAGTTGTTGCTGCACTTTCAAGAAATTGGATGTAAGGTATCATGGAAGAAAGCCCAGATTTGTGTACAACATGTTAAATATTTAGGATTTCAAATAACACAGGGCATGCATTGCTGAGGAAATGAAAGAAAACAGGTTATTAGTGCCATCCCTGAACCCCAAACAAAGAGAAGCAGTTGAGAGAGTTTCTTGGGGTGGCAGGCTCCTGTAGAGTTTGGAGTCCGGGTATTGCAGAAATCTCTAAACCCCTTTATGAAGCCCTAAAGGGACAGGAGGAGAATCATCTGCATTGGACTGTAGAAAAGGAGGAAGCTTTTGAGAAATTAAAATTGACTTTGGCAGCTGCCCCAGCCCTAGGCATACCAGATGTAAAGCGCCCTTTTATTCTATATGTGACTGAGAAAAACCATGTGGCCCTTGGAGTGTTGACCCAAGAGGTAGGCCCATGGAACCAACCGGTGGCATATTTGTTAAGAATTTAGATCCAGTAGCAAAAGGATGGCCTCCTTGTCTTTGGGCCTTAGCAGCTTCAGTTCTGTTGATTCAAGAAGCAGACAAGCTGACTTTAGATCAGGAACTGACTGTGCAGGTTCCACATGTGGTCCTAGAACTGATGAACACAAGGGGGTATCGTTGGCTCTCAATCGGGTTACTCAGTACCAAGCCCTTCTCTCTGAGATTCCCCGCCTGTGGTTTATTCCTGTGAAAGCTTTAAGTCTTGCTACCTTCTCGCCCATGGAGACAGGCCCTCCTGATCACGACTGCTTGAATGTCACTGACGAGCTCTTTTCCAGCTGCTCTGGCCTGTAAATGATACCCTTGTCCAATTCTGACCTCGTCCTGGTCACAGATGGGAACAGCTTCGTGGAAGATGGGGTCCATCATGCTGGGTTATGTGGTAACCACAGAGGATGAGGTGGTCCTAGCTGGGCCCATCCCTATTGGCTGGTCAGCCCAGCATGCGGAGCTCTGGGCACTCATACAAGCACTCCGATGTGCAAAAGGTAAAAAGGTAAATATATATATACAGATTCTTGCTATGCATTTGCTATATTGCACATACATGACAAGATTTATCGAGAGCGAGGTCTTCTCACAGCAGAAGGGAAGCAAATTAAAAAAATAAGCAAGAAATTGTACAGTTGCTAGAGGCAATGTGGGAACCTAGCAAAGTCACGGTAATACATTGTACAGGACATCAGAAAGGCAGAGACTTCATTGCCAAGAAAGACAACGCACTCAAAGCCCTGCTCTCAGCACTCCAGAGGCTGGTGAGTCAACCCACGGCTGAAGAATGGAGCACCGAGAAAGACCACATGGACTATTGTGCTATGCCAGATCACCACTGCTCTGAGTTTGTTTGTTTTCAAACTGCGGGTATTTAAACCTAGAGATGAAAAGTTTGATGAACAATATGTAACTTCTAAAATGGTAAAATGGGAACCGGAGGCTATCCTTTTACGATCCTCTTTGATCCCTGCCCAAAGCAACATTATGGGGAACCTGGGTTAACTTCTGACTGTGGGGGCTATTCTAATGAGAAATCATATTGCAAAGAGAAAACACAAGTTTGGATCAACGCCTCCCTTGTTGGATGAGCCACTGGTAATTGTAACAGTTGTAAACAAGGTCAGTATAATCCTATATCTATGCATGGGATCCTATTGGGCTGCAAGGAGTAATGTATCAAATTTATATAGGAAGCTATGCATTCACTTCTGAAATACCCCTCCAAGGTTATTGGAAATGGTACATGTTTCCTTGGGGGACAAAGGAACAACGGGAAAAACAACACTTGTACAAATCTAGTCTTGTTAAAGGAAGAAAACTATATTTCATTAGGACAAGAAATTAGAAAAGATCTTGAGGAAATTTGAGACACAATTCAGGCTTTAGAAACCCAGTTAGATTCTCTAACCAACATCGTGTTACAGAATAGGTGTCTCTGAATTTGCTAACAGCCCAGAAAGGAGGGACTTGCTTATTTCTTTGTGAAGAGTGTTATTATTACGCTAATAAATCTGGTGTAGTACAAGAAATCACTAGACAAACTGAAAGATTGGATCAAGGCTCTTGATGAGGAATTTGGTATAGGAGAGCCGTCCTATGGGATTAATTTTACTTGGGCAGGATGGCAAACATGGATAGGACCTCTTGAGCCCCCTTCTTGTCGTAATATTAGTATTAATGTTTGGTCCTTGTGTTATTCAGTGGATTTCAAGACTTATACAGCAGCGTATTGCTGCTCAACACTATCAAATGCTAGTCCTAAGAAATACAGATAAGTTAGATCATATTATGGATAGAAGATTTATCCTAAAGTAAACAAAAGGAGGAATGATAAGAGAAAAGCTTTAAAGTAAGTGTAGTAGATTAGCTATTAAAGTAGTTGTGGAAGCAAAACAGGTAGTGTATCCCTTTAAAAGCTTGCCTTAGCCCGTTGCTTTTGTTGTTTAAAGGTTATATAGCTCCTTTGCTCTGTAGCTCCACTGTAGATAACATCCTAGCTCTGAAGAACAGAGTGGCAATCCCTGAACAAACTTGTGATATATGTGCCTTAACTGTCATGTGTTTAGGACTGTAATCAGTGACAGAAACCACCTGTGTTTAACCATAAAGCAGAAATTGGAGCTTTATTTACTTAACAAAGACCACTAGGGATGAGATAATGACTAACAAAAGTACAAAAGGTGACTAACAAAGAATGCAGTGGGTGGACACTGACCAGACCAGTTTTCTGGTGGTCCTGCTTGCTGACAAATAAAGCCTTTGTTATTTTACCCAAATTCTGTGTCTCCGTGCATTTCTTTCCAGGATTCCAGAACAAAAACACTAGTTTCAATATTCATTGGTGGTTCATGACTTAGTCCATGATTTTTTTTTTTTGGTACTGGGGATCAAACTCAGGTCCTTCTGCTTGTGAGGCAGGTGGTGGAACCACTGAGCTAAATCCCTGGCCCTAGTCCGTGATTATTAAGCCAGTTACAAGACAGTGATGTTCTAATTCTGTCATTCCTTATACAACTATTTGTTGTAAAGTATTGTCCCCCTTTTAGACTAACAAATTTTTGTTTGTCCCATAAGTATTCTGTTACTGTCTTCATTTTGATGCTTAAGTCATCTCAGGTTTGGAGAGAGGAAACCCTTTAAGTCTGGCTCCTATGTCCTTTTGACATTTTCCTATCATTTTTTGAGAATGTCATGGTAGACATTTAAGAAGGGAAATTGAGATAGATTGATTTTCATATTCAGTTCGCTAGAAGATCAGGACCTAAAGAAATCATATCGATGAGCACAAAGATAATTTTGATGGTAGAGAAGAGTTGGAAAACAGCCCCTATTAGGAGCTGCTACTATCTTTTTGAGTCTCAGTTCAGGCTGACCCTAAGGACACCACAATAGAGATGTTTTTTGGGCAGCCATAGGTATGGGTCCAGAGTCCAAGATATTAGTACTTTATATCTAAAATCTTGGGGATGTGTCTGCTGAAATACAGTGATTTGGAATGGATGAGTGGTGGCTTCCACAACTACAGACTGGGCTTGTCTCATTCATAGCTTCTTTTTCCTCTCAGCCATGTCTACATCTCAGAGTCCCACCCCTTCCCAGAAAGGAAGTTCCGGAGACCAGGAGATAACATCCACAGTTCACAATCCAGGGTTCCAGGTGAGTTGTGCACTTCTTACTAAAGCACCACAGCTCTAGTTGGCAGTGTTTTAGTGTCTACGCTATATCCGTAGTGTTCTTTAGCAATCCCTGTTGAAAAGCTCGCTTCACATTCTTTTGCATGGTGACAGATTGATCCTTCTTTTCCTGCCGTAAATCTAACACACTTTCCTCCTTTCCCCAGTCACTGAGACCCCTTTCCACACTGCATTTCCATCTCTTAATGCTCTCCTAGCACTGGCAGCTCTCTCTGACACTGTGGAACACTTCCAGGCCTCAAATGATGATTTTGTTTTATTTCAGACTTTGGAGAAGCTTGAAGACATGGCTGTGTCCCTTATTCGAGAGGAATGGTTTCTTGATCCATCGAAGAAAGATCTAAGTAGAGATAACAGGCCAGAGAATTGTAGGAACACGTTCTCCCTGGGTAAGAAGAGCTGATTATTACCACCGGATATTTTGTTGGTTTCTTTTTATGTGTATAGTAGCTATGAGCTTACTGGAAGATATAATTGTGTTTAAACTCAGGCTCCAGCAAAGAGTTACAAGGTTGAGACTTCCCAAGATGTGAACTAAAACCTTTGTTCTCCAACCCAGGAATTCCTCACAGTTTGTACCTGGGTATTTTTCTGTTTGTCAGTTGGAAATTGACATCTGTCTAGCATTCTCTGGGTTCATGCATTTCTTCTCCCACTTGGAGAAGTTGGAGCTTTACAGGATTTTCCCATCTAAACTTACTATTCTTCCTCCCTTTCCATGACTGTATGGTGCATTTGCCCATTCTTGTCACACTCACTGAATCTCAGTATTTCCATATTCCTTCCCATTCCCCAGCTTCCACTGCTCTTCACCTGATCTCTTCCCAACTTCATTCCCTCTTTGTAACCCCTTTTCCATGGAACCTCTTCCCCAGTTGGCCTGTGGTGTTTCTCTTTTATCCCACACATATCTCTGCCTATTATGCAGGAGACAGAGAAGTTTTGAGTCTGCTTATAGCTGTCTCGTTTATACTTTTCTTTGTGCCGTGTTCCTTTTTCCTAGCATATCCAATATGAAGCTATTCTGGCTTGATGTTTATTTATTACATTTTTATTTCAGGTGGTGAGACCAGGAATGAGAACAAGGAATTAACTTCGAAACAGGTAATATCTGCTGGAATCCAACCCCATGGAGAGACAGCTGCCAGATGCAACGGGGATGTTATCAGGGGTCTTGAGCATGGAGAAGCCCAGGACCTTCTGGGGAAATTAGAGAGGCAGCGGGGAAATCCCCCCCAAGAAAGACGACATAAATGTGATGAATGTGGGAAAAGCTTTGCTCAAAGCTCAGGCCTTGTTCGCCACTGGAGGATCCACACTGGGGAGAAGCCCTATCAGTGTAACGTGTGTGGTAAAGCCTTCAGTTACAGGTCAGCCCTGCTTTCCCATCAGGATATCCACAACAAGGTAAAACGCTACCACTGTAAGGAGTGTGGTAAGGCCTTCAGCCAGAACACAGGCCTGATCCTGCACCAGAGAATCCATACTGGGGAGAAGCCATATCAGTGCAACCAGTGTGGGAAGGCATTCAGCCAGAGTGCAGGCCTTATTCTGCACCAGAGAATCCACAGTGGGGAGAGACCCTATGAATGCAGTGAGTGTGGGAAGGCATTCAGTCATAGCTCACACCTGATTGGACACCAGAGGATCCACACTGGGGAGAAGCCCTATGAGTGTGATGAGTGTGGGAAAACCTTCAGGCGGAGCTCACATCTTATTGGCCATCAGAGAAGCCACACGGGGGAGAAACCCTACAAGTGCAATGAGTGTGGGAGGGCCTTCAGTCAGAAGTCAGGCCTCATTGAACACCAGAGAATCCACACTGGAGAAAGACCCTATAAATGTAAAGAATGTGGAAAAGCTTTCAATGGGAACACTGGCCTTATTCAGCACCTGAGAATCCATACAGGGGAGAAGCCCTATCAATGCAATGAGTGTGGGAAAGCCTTTATTCAGAGATCAAGTCTCATTCGACATCAGCGAATCCACAGTGGAGAAAAATCTGAATCCATAGTTTAGGAAGCCTCAGTAACAGTTTGAGCATTATGCAGCATGAAAACTATACACTGGTGGAGAAGTCTTTCAGTAGTAAAAAAAAAAAAAGCAGGAATGATGGTAACATCATCTAATGGCAAAATCTAGAGGCAACAGGGTTAGAATAGCTCTTCAGTAGCATGGGCTGAGTGCTTGGACACAGGTGGATTAGCTTGACTGCTTTGGAGGTCTGATGGAGTGGACCTTCCAACAGCCTAACACATCTCTTAGAAATTTAAAATAGCACTAGAGCAAGTTGCTTATCATGGCTTGAGACACTAAGCTTTGTCTTTTAGTGAGTAGCTGTAGGTTTAAGAGAGGCTGCTGCTCCTAGCTCGACTGCTTCTTCCCATCTCCTGTGATTTCTTCTTCCGTATGTTCCCCTGAAGTTTCCCTCATGCTCCTCATCTAAGAAGCTGCTGAAGCCTCCCAGGAGCCTCTCTGTGAGACTTGTTTCTAATTAGCTTTCTGAGGGCTTAGATCTAGGGAAGTTTTTTTAGATACAATTTGTTTATGCTTAAGTGTTTCATTTTTTTATTCTAATGTTCCTTCTAGTTGGTGGAAATCCATATGCCCATGCAGACCCAGAATACTGTATTTTTAACAGCACTCCAGCATTTTGCTTCCTTTATCACATTACTGACTCCACTGAGTCACTGAGCATCTTCTGTGTGTATCCTTCACCACCCTCATCCCAGTGCCCGTGTCAGAAAAGGAAGCGGACACATTAGTGATGGTTGTAGGAGTGATGCAAAGAAAGGTGAGTGGAGACTCAGCCTGGCTATTTTGAGCTTGGACATTTGTCCCTTGTGGTGACCTCTGCCCTTCCATTTCCCCACTGTACTCTGGGGTGCAAATGTTATTTTCACTATCCTAGTTATGGAATCATGTAGGACAGAAAGTAGGCAGAGTAATGAAGAAGACATAAAAGTGTTCACAAACCTTACATCATCCCTTTGGTCTGCTATGTACTACTCTCTCAGGTTCCTGTCCACCTGCACACATATCTTGACTAGATGGGCTCTTGGCCCTGTGGTTGCCCTGGACCCACCTCAAAAGGCTGGAGCTCTTCACACATCACTCTCCATCAGGTCCTTGCCATTTGCGTATATGATTTAATACCCATGTTGATGATCTATCAGATACCTTACCTCACAATTCCTCTTTCTTCTGAACTGTGGTACACTCCTTCAGTAATTAGTGTTTGTAATCTCCTAACAGGACACATGATTAACCCTGTAGGGTGAGGTCAGGTGCTAGCAGTATGTAAGAAGAGTTTGTATCTCTCTGGGTCAGCCATGACCTCTGAAGGGTTAGACTATGAGCTCCAGGCACTATGTACCATCTTTGAGGGCTTTTAGTATTCCTAGGGATGCGTATAGCAATGAGACTGATATTTTCTAATTAATCAAGTTTATTGCTACATGTTAGGTATACATGATGGTCACATTCATCATTGCAAATTTGTACCTGTACAGGATATATCTTGATTGAGACTGATTTAAAGTAACATGCCAAATTCAATATAGAGTACCCTTCAAATTGCTTAGTGCTACATATTCTCAAGTACTGTTATTTAATAGTGTTACTATTCTTCCAAATATGTGGAACATTCTTAGAATTCCCATTTTATAAACCACTCAAGAAAAACCTCTATTACTCCTAACTGAATTCTGTTTTGACCAGTTGATTACCTACTTAGTCACTGAACTTCGAATTCAATAACTTTTGCTTTCAAAAATTAACCCTCAGATTTGAAATTATTCCAGTCTATTAAGAAGACCAATTATATACATTCTGACAAAACTTCCAAGAGGAATAACACCATTTAGGGTGTGACTATCCTGTAAAGGTACAACAGTCATGATGTTTTCTGATCAATGTGTTAAAAATCAGTCATAAAACCTCATTGAGGTCAACCTTTGATTCATAAATTCTTTCTTCATAATATCTCTATGTCTGTATGACCCACCTTGACCATTAGGAATTCTGAGATTATTACTATTTGTTTCATGGAGCCATTGGTACCTATTCCTCCCGTGTCATCCTAGTTTCCTTGATTAATTTTTTCAGAACAGTCCTTTTTATTATTTTTTTATCCTCCTTTTTTTTCTTTCTCTTTTGTGGTACTGAGAATTGAACCCAGGGCCTTGTGCATGCTAGGCAAATACTCTGCCACTGAGCTGCATCCCCCAGCCCCTCTTCTTTTTTTGACATATAAATTACCATTCCTAATTCCCTGCTGTTGAAATTCTCACAAACCAGAATCAAGTAAGTGTGGTTGTATCCAGGTCCTTGCCCTTTGCTTCGGTTGTGCCTTATCCTCTGTGGTATGATTCTGCCTGGTCCCAGTGCTCCACTGTGTGCAGCTCTTACATAAGGTGAGTCCACGGTCAAAGGGAAGATGCACATGTTTGCACACATGCATATGTGTACACACGCTCCTTTCAAATACTTCAGATGAGCAGAGCAACATAATAAAATGTCTGTATTCTGGCATCTCTTTTGGCAGCAGTACCCAGAGTGATATATAGCCACATCATTTAAATCTCAGAATTATTAATTAACATCTGTCACAAATTCAGAGAAAAGAAAGTAACATGACTAGAGAGATTAGTTACACTGATGATTAGTGTTAGTGAGTGTGAGAAAAGATTGTCACTTGAAAGAATCATAAAAACTGATTCAGCATATGTATAGAAAAGACCTAATGGTGGGCCGGGGATTTAGCTCAGTGCTTCTGTCTCCTGCCTCAAAAGCGCAAAGTCCCCAGTTCGATCCCTGGTACCAAAAGAAAAAGCCTAATGGGGACCAGGGATTTAGCTCAGTGGTTCCGCCGCCTGATTTGCAAGTACAAGGTCCCGAGTTCAATCCCCAGTACCAAAGGAAAAAAACAAGAAAAAGCCTAATGGTGTAAGACCACAGAAAAAGACTGGATACTTTGAGGATATAAGCTGAAGTCATTCTTGGTCTCAAGTTAGCATTAGAAGATCATTGATCAACCTATATGACATTATTTCAAGCTCTTAACTATGAAAGGCATCTTTTATTTTGCAGATTTTGATTTTATGCTTTTAATCTGAAGTGAACTTTTCACTGGTATTTTTTGGCTCATTCTTAGCTTCTCATTTTAGCACCTGGCATGATACAGTAGTTCTTGGATAACTCTGTTGCCATCCAACACAGTCCTGGGAAAGGCACTGAAGAGCAAAGATCTTCTTAGTGAGGCAGGGTGGTGTGGTAGAAATACGGTGCTTTATTAGCTAGCCATTTAGCTTTACTCTTGCTTCTAAGTTCCAGGTAATAATAGCTGCCAAGCCCCACATTAAGCATTTCCTGCCTACGATGGATTAAGTTCCTACCCTACCAGCCTGGCTGTAGAGCCTGTGCTGACCACTGCTCTGCTACCTACAGTGAACACGAACTCTGGCCAGTCATTTAGAAAGCACATAAGCCTGGTTATGAGAGGTCCTGGGTCAGGTAATGTGCAGTGTAGTGCAAATCCATTGCAATTACTCGAAGATTGGTTGAAAATAGCATTTGGGGCTATATCATCTTTAAATGTCAATGCTTTTGATGCATACTAGAAGCTAAATTATGTAAATAAAATATTTAAAAGTACTGGGAGGATGAAGCAGTAATAACTTATACCAGATACATTTTCTCTAAACTGTCTAAGGAACAAAAGAATTCTGAGGAGAAAAATTATCCATGTTCTAGGCTGGGCAGATGGACAGTGAAGATGACAATAGTTAAGTTCACAAACAACATAAAACATGGAAACTTTCCACCTTATCACCCATGTCCAGCTGCCATTCTATCTTTCCTCAATCATTACTGATTTTTCAAACATCTTCCATTTTTAACCAGTTTGCTCCTTAATTTAGTCTTCAAATTTCTCCTGATTTTTTTACTCATCATTCCATTGAAATATCCTCAGGGTGCCTTTGTATAAATACTAAGGCTTTTAAAAGGTTTTGTCCTTCTTAATCTCATGTATATCTCTTACTGTTGAATTTTTTTCCCTGATTTCAGGAATTCTCTTCACCTTTGACTCGTGGGATCCTTTTTTTAGTTTTTTTTTCTTCCACTCTTTACTCAATAATGTATCTTATTTTTGCTCACTACTTTTTCTATATCCTTGTTTATCCATATTGGTTTCTGTTTGTTTGTTTGTTTTTGTTTTTTTGGTTCTGGGGATCGAACTCGGGTCCTTGCAGTTGTGAGGCAGGCAGCAGAACCACTGAGTTAAATCCCTGGCCCTGTTTATCCATATTGTTTATACATTTAAGTGACTTCATATTTCCCATCCTGTGTAACATCTCGTGATACGTGGGATTTTCCACAGAGATGTATACAAGTTGATTTTGAAAACAAAACTCATCACTCTCTTATTCTAACTCTGATTTTCTTTTTATTTTTGCAGTATCGAGGATAAACCCAGGGCCTTGACACTAAGCTACCACAGCCTCTTTTATTTCATCTTTTTGTTTTTGTTTTCCCTTTGGTACCGGGATCAAACGCAGGACGTTGTGCTTGCAAGGCAGGTGGTGGCGCCACTGAGCTAAATGCCTAGCTTATTTTTTCATTTTGAAACAGGTTATCGTTAAGACGCCTGTACTAGGCTCAAACTTGTGATCCTTCTGCCTCGGCCTCCCAGAGTGATACGGTATTAAAGTTGTACACTACTGTACCTAGCTCTCATTTTCTTTCTAAACAGCATAGCTGCCCTGAAAAGACTCACCACCTTTTATTTTTTATACCAACCTTGAAGTTACACCGTGATCTTTGACCTCTATTCTCCTGGTTCGTAATCTTGCTCTCGAGCCTATTCTTAGTCTCTTTAAGCCTTAATCGTTTACTTCTCTGCCACCCCCTTATGTCCTTTCATGCAGGTACACATCACATAAGGCCTAGATTAGTGTAATTCTTTTCACTTTGCTTGCTCTCAGAGTCCTTATCTTGTATAAGACTTCTAAAGTGATGGTCTTCAAACTCCATTTTCATGATGCTTCGTTTTTATTCCACACTTAGGTAATTCCTTTCAGAGAGTGGTGTTCCAAGTTTTCCATTACGTTGTCCTCCATGCCTAATCTGCCTCGGCTTCATTACTCTCTAGCATGTTCAGCTTGACTCATCACGCGCAAACTTTTACAGCTTTCTACTATCTTACAAGCCCTTGCCTCTGTGCCTTTATCATGGAATTCTGTTTGTTTGTTTGTTCGTTTACTCTTTGGCCCCAGCTCATGTTTATTACTCCCTTCAAAACCTATCTTTATACCTTTTGAGTGAGCCCTCTGATGGGCTTCATTCACACTGAGATCTCCCTTACTCTGTCCTGTCTCAGCACGTCTCTTGAGTCTGTACTGTGATCCATGCACTTACTGATATGTTGCTCTGCAATTATTTTCTAGAAGTCTGTATTGTAGTTTTACATTTGTATTTATTTCCGGAATTAAAGTGTAAGCTCCTTGAGGGCAGGACAAATATTTCACATTTGTATCACTGCACCCCTTAGTGCCTAGTACAGTGCTGAGCACATAGTAGGCATTTAATAAATGCTTGTTGAATGATTGTGTGGATTATTTGTGGTGTTATGTGTAGATATTTTTAAGCAGCTTTCAATGGTAGGCTTACCACTTTGTGTGCTCAAAAAATACAGACCTATTTCTGTAAAATACAGAGTAGTAGTACATCAGAATCTGACTATCCCTTACAAATAAAGTGGACCCTTGATTTACAAACTCAATATGTTCCTGAGGGCTGGTTGTAACTCAAGTTGGTCAGCTGAAGGCTCAGGCTCATCTACACAGCCTTCAAAGTCTCTCTCCTATACATAGGCAGATCTCAGTGTCCTTAGTCATTGACCCAGGATTTCTCATTTAACCCCACATAGAAAAGGATGTTTAAATGTTTCTTCCAGAACTCTTTAAGAGTTAAATCTGTATCTGAGACCATCTGGAAGCACAAGCGGTGAGCATTCAGGTTATAACTCAAGACTTTGGTGATAAGTTAAAACAAATTTTGGTCATAACCCACGTTGTTTGTCAGACGTTTTGTAACTCGAGGGTCCACTCTCAAGCCAAAAAATCCAACTCTAGGAGGGTATGTGTGAAAAGTTGAAATCTGAAGCTCTCTTGTTTGCTTGGCCGGACTCATTTATGGATAAAGAAAGAAAATGGAAAACACTAAAGACTGTTGTGTGGAAGTTATAATAATAAAAGTGCTTGAGAAAAATAGGCTGTTGTATCTGAGGTTAGATCAGCAGTTATCATTGGGAAAAATTTAGCAGTGTGTAGAGACACTTGGTTGTACTATTCATTATTGGAGGCTAAGAATCTGCTAGATAGAGGCCAGGATGCTGCTGCACAGCCTACATGCACAAGACAACCTCCACAGTAAAGAATTATCTGGCCCAAAATGTTGAACCTGCTTTAGATAGATTCAAGGTAAATGGAAAAAGAAATATTAAATATACTAGCATTACAATTAGGATATGCCCAGCTTTAAGGGACTCTTATGTATGTGTATTTTGTGGTTTCTAAGATTATTAAAGAAGAAGCCTTAATGTTTGGAGCTCACAGCAACATACATGTCAGGGTCTTAATAAACAATAAAACTTTTGATAATGCTTTTAAAAAATTGACTCAGTAAATTAACATTTTTGAGATATGGTATGACATTTCAATACATGTATATGATGTGTAATGGTCAGGTCAGGATAATTGGCATAGCTGTCACCTGAGACATTTATTACTTCTTATGTTGGACATTCAGACTCCTCTACTAGTTCTTTTGAATTGGTGTCAACTGTAGCTATCCTACTATAATTTAGAACATTATTCCAGGCCTATAGATGTAGCCCATTGGAAGAGTACTTGTCTACCATGCATAAAGCCCTAAGGTTCAGTCCCCAGCACAATAAGGGAAAGGAAAGAAGAAAAGAAAGTTATTCCTCCTATCCAGCTGCACTCCTGTGCCCATTACGTTGATTTGTTTAGGTTACTCTCCCGGTGTCGGGCCTACGGCGGTCCTGTGGCAAGTGCTGCAGTACAAATCTAGTCCAAACCTTCCACGTCTTGGCTTATTACCATAGCCTCCATACATGGGGAGGGGGAGGCTATCTCCTCAGCAAGGGGTGCTGCAATGTATCAACAGTGTAGCTCTGGGAATAACAGAGACCCTGAATCGTCCCTTGGGAAGCTACTAGAAGAATAATTACCAACTCCAAGAAAATCACAAATAGAGGCAGTAGGAGAGATCACAGGCGCTGCGCACTGTGGTTGTTTTCTGAGGTATTTTTTGCTTGGAGCTTCCTCAATCAGTGAGTAGCACTTTGTGAGCATCTTATGTGAGGCTGGGAAAAGAAGAAGATAGATATCGAACTCGGGACCTTGTGCTTTCGAGGCAGGTGGCAAAATCACTTAGCTAAATCCCCGGCCCTGAGATTATCTCTTACTCCAGAAAGAACAGCTATGATCAAGAAATCAAGAGCCAGACATGGTGGTGCCCACCTATAATCCCAGAAGAGGAAGCTAAGGCGAGGATCACATCAAATATGAGTACAGCCTGAGCTCCATGAGTTCAAGGACAGCCTTGGCTACATAGAGAGTTCAAGGACAACATGAGCTGTATAGCAAGATCCTATTTCAAGAAACGAACAAAAAAATCAAGTAAAAATAAATGTGATGGAGGCTGCAGGGAAAAAGCAAATCTTTTGATTGTTGGTGAGTGTAAACTGGTAGAACCATTATAGAAATCAGTAAGGAGATTCCTCAAAAAACGAAAAGTAGAAATTCCATTTAGCCATTCTAGATATCTTCCCGAAACAGTTAAAGGCATCATATTGCAGTGATACATAAATACCCATGTCTATAGCAGCACAACTCAAAATAGCCAAATCTTGGAAGTGGTCTATATATCCATCAACAGATGAATGGATAAACAAAGTGAGACATTAATGCACAGTGGAGTACTACAATGCCACAAAGAAGGATAAATTTGAGTCATTTGTAGGGCAATGGATGCATCTTGAGACAGTAATGTTAAATGAATTACATGAGACATAAACTTGTATGAGAAACCCAAAATATAAAGAGTAAAATACAAATGGATAATACGAAACAGGGAGATAACTGTTTCTATTTTGGTTGGTTTTTTTGGTACTGGGGAATTGAACTCCGGTCCTTGAACTTGGGAGGCAGGAGGTGGAACCAGTGAGCTAAATCCCTGGCCAAGGAGATAGCTGTTTTGCAAATAGGAAAGAGATGAAGAGATGGAGTGCTGGGAGAGGAGAGGGGGAAGGGGAAGGGAAAAGAATTAAGATGTATTATGTACATGTACTAACTCCCAATGATGAGTGTAATCATTCTGTACTGCAAACGATCTAATAAAAATATTTTTAATTAAAAAAATCAGAAATCAAAATGTTTGCCCATAAAGTTTAACACACTGTGTTAACCCTACTTTGAAGGCACATGAGTCAGAGGAATTGTGATTCCCTAAATTAAAAAGCAAGCTAAATTACACAGCCCCAGGACATGGTGGCACATGCCTGTAGTCCCACCCCTTGGGAGGCTGAGGCAGGAGGGCACCGTGAGTTAACAGACCAGCCTGGGCTACATAGTGAATTCAAAGCCAGCCTGAATTGCATACTGAGACCCTGTCTCAAAATAAATAAAGTAACAAATATACTCGTCTCCACTTGAGGATCAGTGGTTCTCCAACAGGTTTAGAAAGACTGGACTCCAGAGTTAGAGAATCAGTTTAAATGTGTGGTGCACCAAAGAACTGCATTGCTCCACTGCATTTAAATATTCAGCCTATAAAATGCTACTTTGGGCCATTATTTCGTGTTCCGACCCATTCTGAAAATGGAGGGCTAGGGAGTCACTCATTTAGTACTATATGTGGAAGTAGAATCCAGGTTTTTTGAGGCCTTTCTCATTTCATTTTTTTGTTTTTGTTTTTTGTTTGTTTGTTGGTTGGTACCTGGGATCGAACTCGGGTCCTTACGCTTGCAAGGCAGGCAGCAGAACCACTGAGCTAAATCCCCAGCCCCCTCATTTCATTTTTGACTAGTTAGGTCCCACATCCGATCCTCGGAATTCTACCTGAATATCTCATTTTAGGAATTACTCCTTTTATCAGCTTGTATGTCCAAACCAGCATGCTGTGGTGTCTTGAATTAAAATTCTTTCATCCCCGAGAGATTATGCACTAACGGTCATGTTTTGAAAGCCCTGCGCTCGTGTCTGGGCCCTAATCTTCAAAAAAGCACACAGAATATATAGATAGCATTGGCTTTCAGGTCACTAGTCAGGAAAACCAGCGTTCTGGTAGCACCGTGTGTTGCTTTGGGATTCTGCAGGCCCCACGCTGGAAATGCTTTTCCCAACTGCGACCTTAAATTCTACGATTTAAGGGAGACCCTAACTTGGCAGTGTTGTGCCCAGATTACGAAGTCCCAAAGACCACCAGGAGGCCGTTTCCGATGTAAGCACACGAGGGTCATTTATTCAAGCTTAAGCAGGGACTCTCAATTGTCACCGACACAGCGGATCGAGATTGAGAGCCCCGAGTTCCAAATTAGCAGGGTTTTTATAGAGGTTACAGCAAGCTTCGGTCATTAGCAGCCATATGATTGGTTAACATTTAGCAAGTATGAAGTGTAGAATTTTGATTGGCTAGGCTCATTGGGGGTTGAAGGGGATTACGTATAGGTTTTTACAAGAAAAATGGGGACGAAGGTTAGTGGTCTACTTTCACGTACTGATGGTCAGCAGACATCTTGACTCATGGTCATGACCACCTTGTGTGGATAGTCAGCACGTGAACAGATTGTCCTATAGATAGTGGGCCCGGGACACTTGTTTCTAGGGCAAACAGGTGGCTGAGTCATGAGTTTAGGAATCTTGAGTTACAGATCATGTCTTTTGTCCCAGATTAAGCACATTTAATCATTAATTTGAAAGAATAAAGGAGACTGCTCCATTTTGGACAAAATGGAGTCATTCTGGTCTCACATTCACAAAATGGAGTCACTTTTGGTCTCACGGCAGAAACTCAGGAAGCAAAATCATTTTTGTGAGAAGTGAAGTAGGAAAAGGCTACAAGGAGAGGCGGTCGCGAGGAAAGGGAAACCAGAATGCGTTAAATCCCGCCCACTTCCAGCGCCCTGGGCCCGCCTCGGAAGTGCTCAGGGACTTCCGCCGGGCTTTCTGGGAGTTGCCAGCTGTCTGCTCCCGAAGGGAGGTGGTTGTGTTCCATGGACTTCTTCCTGGAAGGCCTGGTGTCCAGGAGCCGGTGGCCCAGCCTCCTCCTACTCCTGGGACTGTGCTCGTGTCCTGCCATCTATAGAGGCCTAACTTAACTACAAGTGCCCTCCCGGTACAGTTGGTATCGCTGCCTCCCAATCCGCAGCTCGCTTTTCCAACAAAAGACAAAACTGCAAGTAATTGGAAATACATATAGGTGCTCTATATGTAGGAGAGGCTTCCGTTTCTTAGGCTCATGACATCTTTTGAATGCAGAGTAGATACCTGCTTCAGCTTGTAAATAAATGGTCGCTTTTC